TAGTCCCATTTGGAGGCCAGAACTGAGCCTGGTGGAGTAACATACTGGCTGAGACATATTTTAAAATTCTGGCTGGGTGTGGTTGCTCACATCTGTAATCCCAGAACTGTAGGAGGGCAAGGCACGCATATCACTTGAGGTCAGGAGTTCGAGAACAGCTTGACCAATATGATGAAACCCCATTTCTACTAAAAATACAAAAACAAATTTCCCAGGTGCAGTGGTGCATGCCTGTAATCCCAGCTACTTGGGTGGCTAAGGCAGGAGAATCACTTGAACTCAGGAGGCGGAGGTTGTGGTGAGCCAATATCGTGCCACTGCTCTCCAACCTGGGCGACAGAGCAAGTATCCATCTCAAATAAATGGATAAAGAAATTTGTAGGCTCTTTCATTGGGAGTTTCAGAATTAGGGAGGGAAGGAGAGTTACAACCCTCCTCCCTGAATCCAAGGAGAGACTATCTCATTGCACAGATTACCTCTGGGCCAGGTGCGGTGGCTCACTCCTGTAATCCCAACACTTTGAGAGGACAAGGTGGGCAGATTACCTGCGGTCGGGAGTTCAAGACCAGCCTGACCAACATGGAGAAACCCCGTCTCTACTAAAAACACAAAGTTAGCAGGGCATGGTGGCACATGCCTGTAATCCCAGCTAGTGGGGAGGCTACGGCAGGAGAATCGCTTGAACCTGGGAGGCGAAGGTTATGGTGAGCCAAGATTGTGCCACTGCACTCCAGCCTGGGCAACAGGAGGAAAACTCTGTCTCAAAAAATAAATAAATAAATGTCCTCTGTTCACTCGATCCTCCTGAAGCATTTCTAATGCACACAGAGCTGCTATAATCATCGCCACTAATGACCAAGTACCCTGGGTGAAATTCCTTCATTAACCAAATAACTTGTTCCGAGCACCAACTGGACAGTCTAGGGACAGGGGGATGCTTTCAGCTGTATCCTTTCCAGCAGATGACCCCCACACTGGTAGGGTAAGGAGAGCCATGGCAGAATTCAAACCACAGTCCCCTAGAAGCACACAGGAGAGCAATGTACTCGCACCTGAAGGCTGTGTATGTGCAAGGGTTTGATCAGGATAGACTCTTCAGAAGAGGGGAGGTGTGGGCAGCAGGTACCTTGATTCCGCACAGCTTACAGCCCAGAGAGCTGAAGAACAGGAGAAGCCAGATTCCCATCCTCAGTCTGTTGATTTCCATACTACATTAGAAGTCTGAACAACTCCACAGCTGTGTTGCAGCCACTAACAATGCTGCCTCTGCTCTGTTGCCTCTAGATTCTTCTTATCTGTTAAATAAAGTGAGGGTGGAGACGTAATTTAGGGCAGGGGTAGATTGTGTCTCTGTGATAGGGCTAAGCACCTCCTGGGGGAGCCCTAGAAGCTAAACTCGACTGTTAGCTGTGAGGCAAAGGACTCCGGGGCAGCTCCTATGGACTGTGTTAGAACTTTTCAAGGTGGCTATGCCCTGCCAGGGGCCTGAATCTCACACAGATGGACGTAGTGTTGGGACCAGACTGACTATCCCATCACAGAATAATATCTGCATTTCAGTAAGAGGGGCATAAGCAAAGTATGTTGTTGTGAGTTTAAATAGGCCTGGCTTTGGAGTCAGAGAACCTGCATATGAGTCCCAAATCCAGCCTTTGCTTCAGTGCCCTGACCTCTTTCAGCTTGGCTCCTTATCTGTTGATGGGGGTTTTATACTTATGTCTCTGGGTCTTTGGGAAATCAATAATGTACATGCATGGCACACAGTAGGTCCTCAACACCCAGGCTCCAGGAATAGCCATTCACACTCTGCCATGTTAGGGGCACATCAGCATGGAGGCCAGCATGCCGGGACAGTGTGAGTCCAGTGTACCCTCCAGCCAGGATTCAGGCTTGGGCTGCTGGTGGCAGGACCAGGGCCATTTCCATCCTTTCTTTTATTGTCCACATGTCCAAAGCAGATGCTTCTGTTTATACACAGGTGTGCCATGCTAGGAGCTGAAATAACAGGCTGTAGTGAACAAAGCTAAGCCTCACAGTCCACTCTGTGGCAGGAAGGACCAGCTGTGAGGCAGGTCCTCAGCCCACATTACTTCATACTACTGAATCTGGGGCCACAATTCCAAACTCAATGTTCACACAACGATGAGTCTACAGGAATAGAGAGATCAATGTTGTGTGTCCTTATTGTAATTTATGTTTTTATTGTATATATTTGAGGTATAAAACATGTTATAAACACAGTGAAATAATTGCTATAGTCAGGCAAATGAACATGTCACCTTCCCCAGTTACCTTCCTGCATCCTACTCTTTCCATGTAAACTTTTCCCAAAAACCCTACTCTGAGGTGACATTCCAATTGGTTGGCCCATTGGGGGAATTTTGATGAATCCCCATCATATGCTATTTAGTAAAAATAAACCCACTAAGTGTGCCTTTTGATCCACGTGCTCCCTAGGTAAAGTAGAATTTGCTCTCCTTCACTTGAGAGCTGAAGGTAAGGAGGTATCAGTCAGAGGGGGATGGAGCAAGTACAGGCCAGACAGAAGGAAGTGGGGGTATGAGGTGGTGGACATGAGAGGGAGAGCAAGAGAGCACACACGCTAGAGAGAGAGTACAAGTGTCAGCCGACTGATGAACAGAGAGAGGTCTAGAATGTGAAATACTGACGTCTGCTACAGAGGATGCATTTGGGAATAGCTGAGGCCTGATGTCTGCTACAGAGGATGCATTTGGGGATAGCTGAGGCCTGATGTCCCTAATCCTGGAGGCTGGACTTTATCCTAAGGACAGCAGACAGCCCTAGTAGAATTTGAAAAGGTTTGACATGACCAGATCAGAAGTTAAGAAAGGTGCTTCACACACTGGGACAGAGAATGTGGAAGGGGTCAAGACTGGCAGCAAGAGAATGAGCTATGAATTGTTGGTGGTCATCAAGGAGGGAGATGAGGGTGACTGGACTGGGGGACTTCCTGTGGTGATGGAGAAGAGTGACTGTCAAGATCTCACTTAGAAAGACTTGGGAGGTTGAAGTGGCCAGGCTCGCTCACCGTGGGAGTGGTGAGAGAGAGGTAGCAATCAAGGATGGCTTTCAAGATCTCTGGCACAAGCTGCTGGTTAGAAGGTGGTGCCTGTCAGTGAGTCAGGCAGCACAGGAGGAGGGGCAGGCGTTCCGAGAGTGGAAGTTGGTGGGTTCACTTTGGGACATGCTGAGTAGTACATGCTGTGGGATTCGACGACATATGACTTGAATGACTTCGCAGAGCTGACCTAATCACTCTGTGCCTACTGTGCCTCATCTGTAAAATATTACTTTTTGAAAACTATAAACTGCTACTCAGGAGGCAACTTCTTCCAGGGTTAAAAAGGAATGTACTATTCGTGTATCTGCTAGGAAAGACATTGTTGCATGTCACTTGACTCCTGAAATAGGCCACAGTAAAGAAATCTCTGCACATTTTCGTGTTCCGGGAAATTGCTGACCACAAAGGACCAATATTCTCCCTGGGACTTAGATAAGGGTTGCTGACTGTCCCCTCTGTGCCATCACTCCCAGATGGTAGATCCCACCACTCCTTGTGCTTTTGTCTCAGGAACGATTCCCTTAAACGGGAAGTCTCTCCTCCTGAAAGTAGCTAGGCACAGACAGAAACATTCCCTGTTCAGCTGGCTGAGACTTCTGCTGATTACAAAAAAACCCTGCCCCATAAATCTCCCCATTAAAACTGGTCTACTACTTCCTATGAAAGTAAAAGAAATCCCCCCCCTCATTTACCCCATAGTGTGATTTCCACTTCAGGGGCATTCCCCTACAACAGTAGCCTGAATAATTTCAATGTCTTGGATTGTTTGGTTTCTGTCTTTAAAGGGTGCATATACCGCTCATGCAAAAACAGTAAATAACGAAAATGAAACATTAAATAACGAAAATGAAACAGCAGGTGTCCCTTCTCAGGGACACACCCTAGCGAAAAACTCCCAGCCAATCACAGGAGAAATCGGCCTCCTCCCATCCCTCCAGCCCAGTTCCCTGGTCCCTCGCCCATGAAGTAATGTTTGCCTTCCCATAACCTCCAGAAACATTCGTCCCGTCCACCAGACGTGCTCCCGAGCGGGCCGCTCCGGGAACACAGAGGCGCACCTCCAGAAGGGGGCGGCCTCCAAGCCTTCTCCCCTCGCAGCGGGCGCAGCTCTCGCACAGACACCCACTAGCTCCCTCTCCCGGCTCCCCGGCGACCCGCGGCAGCCAATCGAAGGTCCAGTTTTTCGCCAGTGTCGCATCCCTGTGACGTCAACCAACCCCGCCGACGTCGACTCAATCTCGTCATCGCTTCCTTCCGCGCTACTGCCCCTCTAGCCAGCCGGAGGGCGGCTCTTCTCGATGGTCTTAACCTTTCAATTCCAAGCGGGCCGCGCTGGCGCGTGAACGGCGGGAACCGGCTCCTGAGCGAGAACGCGCGTGAGAGAGCCCGACAGAGACGGAGAGCGAGCAAGCGCGCAGGAGAGAATGAGAGCAGGGTGCGGGGCGGGGTGGGAGAGACACTTCCAGAGAGACAGAGCGAGATGCTGAGATCTAGGCTGTCCCCTAGCACAGGCCAGTGTGTCTTGGGACTCGAATCCCTGGGTTGGGCCGGCCGGGAGCGGGGCTTTCGGAGGAAGCGGGTGGTTTTCGCTGTCGCCCTTAGCTCCCCGCTGTGGGAATGGCGGTGACGCAGTCTGTGGGTGACGTTGTTCTCTTTCCCTGCTTAGGGATGGCCTTTTTTAGCGGAGAAAGAGGATGCTGAGACTTGCCACGGGCATTGGTAGCCGGACGGACTACATTTGGGCTATAATCATTTAACAGGTTTAGAAATCACCGTGTTCGCCGGGCGTGGTGGCTCACGCCTGTAATCCTACGACTTTGGGAGGCCAAGGTGGTTGGATCACCTGAGGTCAGGAGTTCAAAACCAGCCTGACCATCATGGTGAAACCCCATCTTTTTTTAAAAGAAAAGAAAGAAAGAAAGAAAGAAATCACTGTGTTCTTGGCATCACCTCCTTCCCCACCTCCTCCTCCACCGCATAGCAGGAGACACTGTGTCTGGAGGGTTTTCAAGGAAGACTGCGTTGTCCCTATTGAAATAAACCATCCCGCAAGGTTTGTTTCAATAGAGTCATGTGACAGAGAGACGTTCAGGATGTGATATATGAGTAGATGTGCATTTAATGGGCACTGCGATTCCTGTATTTGTGAGCAGTGAATGGTCCAGGCCATTTGTGTCCAGTAGCCACACAAGCTGTAGGGTGTTAGGTTTAGAGAAGGAGGGCCTCTCTGCCCTCCACCTTGCTGGAGTACAGGCCACCATGGGTGGTAGCCCTCTGTGCCATCAGAAATGTGGTGCTCTGAGAAGTCATGAAGTTCCAGCTGCATCTCCAATGTCATTTCCCTCTACTAACGTATCCCTGTTCAGTGCGTTGGATTTGTGTGTGGGTGTGAGAGTGGTTTGGTGTGTTTTGCTCAAAAAAGGAAAAGCGAATGGCCTTGCTTGGCTGGGTTTATCAGGATACTAGCAATGGAGAGATAAAGGACTTCTGTATTCTTTTTTTTCTTTTTTTTGAGACGGAGTCTTGCTCTGTCACCAGGCTGGAGTGCAATGGTGCAATCTCAGCTCACTGCAACCTCCACCTCCAGGGTTCAAGCGATTCTTCTGCCTCAGCCTCCCAAGGACCACAGGCGCATGGAACCACACTAAGCTAATTTTTTTGTATTTTTAGTAGAGATGGGGTTTCACCGTGTTGGCCAGGATGGTCTCGATCTCTTGACCTTGTGATCTGCCCGCCTCGGCCTCCCAAAGTGCTGGGATTACAGGCGTGAGCCACTGCGCCCAGCCAAGACTTCCGTATTCTTAGGAGCAGAATTTCAACAACTCCCTGTCAAAGGGGCAGTGTGTCTTACCTGGAATGCTTTGGCATTTAATAAAACGTCCTGTGAATGCTTTTCATAGGGAAGCACTGTTTTTACTGTTTCTGGTTGGAATTGGTTACATTTCAAATCATAGTTCAGAATTCGTGAAATACCTAAGTTAACTCTACATAGCAGTAATCCATTTGCTGTCCTTAGTGTGTGGTTGAAAGATGAATTCCAGATAAGTGTTTGGTTCCAAGCTGGGCAATCGTGCCTGGCACGGGAAATTTAGGTTCTTTAAGGGAAAGGCCTGATATGCTAAAACAAAATGTATACCTTATTTAGCCACTTATGAGAATATGAAGGTCAGGGGAGCCACAGGTAAGTGTATGTCAGTGAATGCGAATTAAAACAGGTGGCAATATAAAGAGAAATTGGTGTCACAAATAGTGGAGTGACTTCTGTATTTCAGCAGACCTCAGTGAGAAATGGTCACCACCACTGCTTAGATGTGTGACCTTCAGTGCTACTCAGAAGCTACTCTCTGATCCTGTTACCTCATCTGCAACTGGTGCAGATAATATATATCATACCACACCCTGGGAGAAGCTGTTCCTACCACCTGGGCTATGGTGGTTTTGACTTCCTCTGTGTCAGAAGCTCCCCTTCTGTCCCCCGCACCATGGTTGTCTTTTTGTTTTGTTTTGTTTTTCGCGATGGTGTCACTGTGTCACCCAGAACAGACTGCACTGGCCTCGACCTCCTGTGTTCAAGTGGTTGTCCCACCTCAGCCCGCCCCCCAGTAGCTGGACCACATGTGTACAGCATCGTGCCTGGCTGATTTTTGAAACTTTTTGTGGAGATGGTGATCTCACCCTGTTGTTCAGGCTGGTCTCGAAACTCCTGGGCTCAAGCAATCCTCCCGCCTCAGCCTCCCAAAGTGCCTGGATTAGAGGTGTGAGCTACCATTTGCGGCTCCCTGGACAGTATTTTATTCCTCAAACTGAGACTTGGCCTTGGGTTGGGGCGGCATTGGACAATTCACTGAAGGCACCACTGAATAAAGTGGGCCCTCAGTAAATACTGCACAAATGTGACCTGGCCAGTGAGGTTATTTTCTTTGTAGGTGAAAGGTGTAGCAGTCACCCAACTGACACCCATAGCATTGACCATATGAACCCAGCCTGACTGCCTTGGGTGAGTCTAGATAAGCTCCTTTCTCATGAGAGGAGACTTGCCCTTTCTCTTCCTCTTGCTACTCTGGACACTCGTCTTGGTCCCTCCCCGGTGCCCCTCCCTGGACTCCCAGTTGTACTCCCGCTGCTTTTCTGTGTACTGACCTACTGGGAGACCCCTGATGCCAGCACCACACTTCACTGCTGTCTTCATTTTCGTTCTCTCTTAAAAGGGGGCATTGCTGGCTTTCTTACTACCTGTTCTTTTGTTACAAAGCTGCTAAGAGTTTTATCTCCTTCACTCCAGACCCAGTAGGATAGAGATGATCTGTGTAGACATCAAAAAGAATGTCTGTGAGCCATGTGTAGGACAGACTCGTTCCTCAATCTGTGGGGCATTGCCTGGCTAAGAGTCAGACTACTTTGCCCTGATGTGGCACGAGACTAGGAACACAGTTTTCAACACCCAGAGAACTTGCACAGATCTTAGTCATTTTGCTGTAGGATTCTGCCATTTGTAAAAAAAAAAAAAATCCATAGTTAATTGGGATTATTAAATGAAATCTGTGTCTTTAAACTGCAGTAAAGCCACTTTATATACCTTCTGCAGACTGCCATCCATGGGGCTCATCACTGTGACTCAGCATTTGGTCATCCAACCATGTGGAGATCACAATTCCACAAGTGTTCCCTGTCTTCCTTCTGCCTGTAAGGTCAACTGTCCCATCCTGATGATACAGGGATCTACAAGGTGTGTTTCCAACCTTCCAGGAGAGACCACGGACCCTGGTGAGGAAGATACACCTGCAAAGAGAGCTTCAGTGCAGTAACAGCAACGGGCATAGCTGGTGTGTTCATCAACTCACGAGAGATCACACTACCAGCATCTCCCGCTTGATTTCCCCAATGACGAACAGCTTATCCTGGAAATGACTCCTTTGGTAGGTAAGTTGGATTCCCCTTACTGTTTCCCCCAGGCATGCAGAGCTACAAAGCAAATTGATAATTGGTATGTTGTGTCAGAGTGGAATCCAAGAATGGAATGCCCTGCAAGTGATGTGATTTCTAAAGCAGTCAATAAATCTTTCTAAATTTCCAGGTGAAGCAACACACAATCCTCCTTCAGTTCACAGGGAAGTGATGTGTATGGAAAAAAATCCAGTTTACTTAAGACGCTGGAAAAAGTTGTTTGCCTCCCTGTAACCTTCACCCCACAAATGCCAGGAGCTGCTTCTAGTTACATGAACATCCAAAGCTGCCCTTGGAAATTTCCAAAATGCCCCAAAGTGG